CACTACCTTTAAAAAAATAAAGCATTGTCTATTTATGTTTATTGGTATGCTTTTTAACTTTTTTTTTTGGTCTTATTATATAAACTACAATTTCCAAAACATATTAAGTAACAATGGTGATACAGACATCTCTCTGTGTTATTGATTTTATTAGAAATAGAATGGATTTGGGGCTCCTGGGTGGCTTAGTCAGTTGGGCGTCCAACTTTGGCTCAGGTCATGATCTCACGGTTCGTGGGTTCGAGCCCCGTGTCAGGCTCTGTGCTGACAGCTGGCTCAAACCTAGAGCCTGCTTTGGATTCTGTGTCTCCCTTTCTCTCTGACCCTCCCCTGTTCTCTCTCTCTCTCTCTCAGAAATAAATAAAACATATAAAAAAATTTTTTTAAAAAGAAATAAAATGGATTTAGCATTTCACCATTTAGAAGCTTATTGATGCTGGTTTTGTAAATAGTCTAGTGTTCAAGGAGTTGCCTTCCATTCCTGTCCTACATAGGATTGTATTAGAAACATTGCCAAATTTTATCAAAAGCCTTTTTGGTTTCTATTTACACATTCTGTAGGGCTTCTCTTTTAATTCATGTGTACAAACTCCCTATTATGAATTATGTTGTCAAAAGTTGAGATTGTCAGAAGTTGATTGATCTAGGCTTGCATTCTTTCAATAAACCCTATTTGGTCAAACCTGTTTCTTTAATACACTATTTGATTTCACTGGCTAATAGTTTATTTATAACCTCTGCATCTATATTTATAAGAGAAATTGGATCTATGTTTTTTTGTGGGGTCCTATCTTTAATAGATTTGAGGTTTGGGGAGTTTTCTATTTTATGGTTTTGTTTCCTTCTAATGTTTATTTTCTGTTCATCTTATTATTTTGGCCAATTCTTTCAGGGTAATGCTAAATAGAATGATGATAGCAGGCATTGTTGTTTTGCTCCTAATTTTAAAGGGAATGTTTTATACATTATATCAGAATTTGGTATTTTCTGTAGGTTTTTTGAGGATGCGTTTTGGAGTTAAGGAACTTCCCTTTTATTCTCTGTTTTCAAAGAGTAGTTTTGTTCTTTAATCATGGATATCATGATTCTTTAATCATCACAAATTTTTTATTTTAATCATGGAGAGTTATTTTTTAAGCTTTTTCTAGAATGTTTTAAGATGACCACAGGTTTTTAAAAATCTTTCAATCCATTAATAAGGTAAATTACATTATTAGATTTCTAATATTAGACTAACCTTGAATTCCTAGAATAATTTCAATGTGGTCTGCTTAATTTTTATTTGTGTGTATGTGTGCCTTCATTTTTTTGTTTCTTAATATTTTTCTTTTATCATTTGGTTTGTAACTTGACCTTTTTTATACTTTTCTGGATTTGATTTGTAAGTATTTTGTTTAGGACTTTCTCACCTATATTCATAAGTGAGATCATGCATAATTTTCTCATAATTATTTTATATATACAATCTCACTTATGAATATATATATAACCTCACCCCATAAAATTAATTAAAGACCATCTCTTTTCCATTAGTCTTTTGAAGAGCTCAAGTAAGTTTCAAATTATTTGTTCTTTGATTGTTAGAACTCACTTGTAAAACTCTCTGGGACTGGTGTTTTCTTTGCGGAAAGATTTTACACTATGCAATATCTTAAACATTGTAGGACTATTCCAGCTTTCTATTTAGCTTTTGATTGGTTTTGGTTTGAGTTGTATTCTTCTAGGACTTTATTAATTTCATCTAAGTTCTGAACTGTATTGCATAAAATTGTTCACAATTCCTTTTTGTTACTGTTTAATATTATCAGTATAATTAGTTTTGGCTTTTTTACTCCAACAATTATTTGTGTCTTTACTCTTTTCTTAATCAGTGTTGCTAGAGATTTGTCTATTTTTTTTTAATGTTTATTTATTTTTGAGAGAGAGACAGAGTGTGAGCTGAGGAGTGACAGAGAGGGAGACACAGAATTTGAAGCAGGCTCCAGGCTTTGAGCTTTGAGCACAGAGCCCGATGCGGGGATTGAACCCACAAACTGAGAGGTCGTGACCCAAGCTGAAGTTGGATGCTTAACTGACTGAACCACCCATGCGCTCCTAGAGATTTGTCTATTTTATTAGGCTTTTCAAAGAACCAATTTGGCTTTTGATCTTCCTTGTTATATATTTGTTCTCTGTATTAATGATTTCTGCCCTCTTAATATTTCTTCTACTATATTGGGGTTTTTTAAAGGATTTTCTTTTAATTCCAGTTAGTTAACATACAATGTTGTATTAGTTTTAGGTGGACAACCAGTGATTCGACAATTCCATACATCACCCAGTGCTCATCACAAGGGTCCTCCTTAATTCCCACTCCCTATTTCATCCACCCCCTCCTTTATTGGAGGTTTTAATGCTGTTCTTTTTTTTCCTAACTTTTCATGTTGCATGCTTTTAAACTTCATCAATTTTTTTTTCTTTTTTAATATAAGCATTTAAAGCTTAAATGCATCACAGATGTTGATATATAGTTTTTCATTATTAGTGCAAAATGTGTTCTAATCCTACGTTCTCTATATTTGGTTTTTAAATGCCCAAATATATGAAGTTTTTAAACTCTCTTTTTGTTATTGATTTCTAACTTATTTTGATTATGGTCAGAAAACATGGTATGGCTTGATTTATTCTATAGATCATGACATAAAGTGATACCCTTTTTCATTCTTTTCTATTTCATTTATCATTTAAGTTTTGATTTTCTCTGATATCCAAAGGAGTTATTTAGAGGAGTACATTAACTTCTAGGAACACTGTGGGGAGGGGTGTCATATTTTTACCATTTATCTTTATTAAATTACAATTATGGGGTGCCTGGGTGGTTCATTGGTTGAGCATATCACTTCTGCTTGGGTTATGATATTGCGGTTAGTGAGTTCAAGCCAGTTAGTGAGTTCAAGCCCCACATCTGGCTCTGCACTAACAGTGCAGAGCCTGCTTGGGATATTCTCTTTCTCTGCCCTTGTCCCACTTGCTCTCTGTCTCTGTCTCTGTCTCAAAATAAATAAACTTAAAAAAAAAAAAAGATTACGATTATGACTTACTCCCTGAAAGAAATCAACCACCTGGGAAGCAAGGTGAGGGAGCCTGAAGGATGCTATGCATTCTCTCTCGTACCTCCCCAGGAAGAAAGTGCAGGTGCAGGTAAGGGCTTAGCTCTCCTGGTGCTGACAGCCAGTGTCAGTAGGGAGGGTCTGCTCTCCCAGCTCAGCCTCCCTGGCCCACCTCATAACCTCTTCTAGATGTGGGGAAAGACCTGGAACCTGGTTCTCTGAGCATGTGCAGACTGCAGAGCTCCCCTGCCCAACCTGTTGCCTATGGTCCTGGACAGTCTAATCATTTTTTAATTAAATTATAATTCACATATCATAAATGTCATTCTTTTTTTTTTTTTTATAAATGTCATTCTTTTAAAGTGCACAGTTCAGTGGCTTTTTGTATATACACAGAGTTATGCAACCATCACCACTACTGGATTCCAGAACATTCTCATCACCTCCAAAAGAACGCCTGTACCTGTTAGCGGTCACCCTCAATCCTCCCTCTTCCAGCCGCCAGCAACCCCTAATCTTTGTCTTCATTGATCTGGCTGTTTCAGATACTTCCTATCAATGGAATCATATAAGACATGGCCTGTTGTGTCTGGCTTCTCTCACTTAGCATGTTTTTAAAGGCTCATCCATGTTGTAGCATATTATCATATTTCATTCCTTTTTAAGGCTGAATAATATTCCATTGGATAGATACACTATCTTTTGTTTATCCATTCATCAGTTTGTGGACATTTGGGTTGTTTTCATTTTAGGGCTGTTATGAATAATGCAGCTACTTGTTTATGAGCATTTATATGCATTCATACACAAGTTTCTGTGTGGTCGTATGTTTTCATTTCTCTTGGGTTTAATACCTGGGAGTGTAATTGCTGGCCCATACAGTATCTCTGTGTTTAACCTTTTGAGGAAGTTCCAGTCTGTTCCAAAGTGGTGCCACCATTTTACATTCCCACCAGCAGTGTCCAAGAGTTCCAATTTCTCCACACCCTTAACAACGCTCATTATCATCTGGCTTTTTGATCGCAGCCATATTCCTGAGAGTGAAGAGGTATCTCACTGGTCTGCATTATTTCTTTAATGGCTAACGATGTTGAGCATCAACATGTGCTTATGTGCTTACTGGCTGTTTGTATATCTTCAGAGAAATATACATTTAGATCCTTTGCCCAGTTTTTAAGTTCAGGTATTTATATTCTTACTTCTGAGTTATAAGAGTTCTAATATTCCAGATATTAGTCTGGTTCTTTTTAAACTGACAAGAGAAGATACTACATTTGATCACAGCCGAAAGAAAGTGATTGCCTCTTTTTATTCCTGAAGACTGAGAGGATGACATGTGAATCAACCCCAGCCCCATGGCTAGGGCAAGACTGCCACTAGGACAAGGGAGCGCCGGGCAGCCCAGGAGAGCACTGTGCCAGTGGTTTCACCATTAGTCTAGAGGGGCAGAAACAACTGTGCTGTCCATGGGACCTAAACAGCCATGGTAACTACTTACATTTTATAGAGCTGTTACAAGGTGCCGGGCACCAGCTAATGACTACATATATCACTTTCTCTCCATAGAAGTTCTATGAAGTAGGTATTATTACCCCCATTTGAAAGATGATGAAAGTAAGGCTCAGAGACATTAAGGAACTTCCACAAGGTCACACAGCTTCTAAGTATCAGAGCTTCAATTCTAACCCTGGTCTCTCACCTCTAAAGTTGGCACTCCTACCCATCCAGGTACATTGCCTCCCAAACAGAATTCAAAGGTTGTACTTCCCAGCCCCTCAAGCTCAGTTACAATAGAGCCTGGTCACCAAAGAGGAGACAGAAGCTTGAGACAGGGTCAAGGAGGGAGGTGGGGAGACAGGGGCTTCACATCTGGTCTCACCATTGCTCTGGGCTGCTCTCCTCTCCTCCCAGTTTGCCCAGTATGCTGAGATCGTCAACTTCACCCTCCCCGACGGGACTCAGAGAAGCGGGCAGGTGCTTGAGGTATCAGGGACCAAGGCAATTGTTCAGGTAAGTGGTGTCAATGCCATGTTGGCCGATAAATGAATGGACCCACAAAGTTCATGACTATCTTATAAACTGAGAAAGGCAAAAAAAGTCTTATTTTCCCAGAGTGTCTTGCCCAGAGCTGAGCTCAAAGGGGGCATAGAATGGAAGGCCCCAATGTCCCCAGCAAGCCCCTTATTAGAGTAACTAACCTCTCGGGGTGCCTGGGTGGCTCAGTTGGTTGAGCGTCCGACTTTAACTCAGGTCATGATCTCATGGTTTGTGGGTTCGGGCCCCGCTTTGGGCTCTGTGCTGACAGCTAGCTCAGAGCCTGGAGCCTGCTTCAGATTCTGTCTCTCTCTCTCTCTGACCTTCCCCTGCTCACACTGTCTCTCTCTCTCTCTCTCTCAGAAATAAATAAAACATTTGAAAAAAGAAAAAAAAAAGAGTAACTAAACTCTCGTCCTGTAGGTGTTTGAAGGAACCTCTGGGATCGATGCCCAGAAGACCACCTGTGAATTCACAGGGGACATTCTACGGACTCCAGTGTCAGAGGACATGCTAGGTAAGGGTGGGGGTGAGGTGAGGCGGGGGAGCTCCTCTGTCTTCCCAGCCTAGCTTCCCTGACCACACGCTTAGCACACTGCATAGTCATTGCTTCTGCATGTCTGCCTCCCCGTGAGTTCGTCAAGGTCAGAGGGTTTGTCCTCTCTTTGACCCCCTGACCCCAGCTCAGGGCTGGACCTACATCAGCTGTCCAGTACATGAGGAAGGCAGGTTCAATAAACCAGAAGAGGCACAGTAGTAGCCATCTATGTGGGGTTAGACTGAAACAGAGTGCGCATCCCCTAACTTTCTTCCAAGATCTGCCATTCTTAGACCTCTTCTTTCCAGCCCTAAAACCCTCCATTAGAGTCATTTCCTGGGCCAAGACCTCATCTGTAAAGATTTCCAGGAGAGGAGGGAAAATCCCCAAGGAGACAGTCACTGTAGCCAGCTCTCTGGGGATGACTGAGGGTTGAGGGGAGAGGGACATGTGAGAGGCGGGTGGGAGCCAGTGGTGGTGTGGAGGGTGAGCAGCAGTGAGGGAGAGGTGAGGCCGACCCTAAACATCCCCCAACCCCCTCCCTCACCCTCAGGTCGGGTTTTCAATGGCTCCGGTAAGCCCATTGACAAGGGGCCAGTGGTCATGGCAGAGGACTTCCTGGATATTAATGGTGAGTGACCACAGAGAAGCTCTGGACAGCTTTTGGGACCCAGCTCCCAACCACCTTCCCCACCCCAACCATTACCTTTGCCACTTTGCCCTGGGAAGTTCTGCACTAGACACAGGCCAGGGGCAATTGGCCAGGGCTCACCTCAAAGGCTGGTCAGACCACCAGGCAGATCAAGTGTGCTCTGAGCACTGTAGAGGCCTCTCTGTCTCCAAATCTGCCACAGAGCCTGAGATACTGCCCAAGCACTTCGTACCCAGTTCCTTTAAATGCCATCATCCTGTGCAAAGTTCCACGTGCGCCCCAAGACCATCACTCTCCTGCCTCCCAGTTCCCTGTCCCCACTCCTCAGAGCCACCTGGGGTGGCTTGCAGAAGCAGACACAGCCCCTTCCCAGTAGGAGGCCATCCTGAGTCCTTCCATCCCCTCAGTTCTGAGGACAAGATGGAGGCCCACAGAGGTCTGTGGCTGCCCCCAAACCACTCAGCAAGTCAGAACCAGGGCACAAATGACACATCCACTCAGACAGGAGCTCCCCAGGTCATCTTCAGTTCCTTCGCGCCCCACACAACACCTGCTCAGCCTCGGGGGGGCCTCAGCCTGCGCTCCTCCCACCTGCCGGCTGCTTCTAATGTGCCAGGTAGCACTATCCAAGGGAGTACTCGACTGTGGCTACTTAAATACAAATCAATTCAAATGGAATAAACTTCCATTTCAAAACCATATCTCATGTGTCCAATAGCCACATGTGGCTAGGGCTAGTGTACTGGGCAGTGTAGTTCAAGCACATTTTCATCATCACAGAAAATTCTGTTAAATAGTGCTGTTCTGGAGTCTGGAGCAGGGTTGGGGGAGGGCAGGGAGGGACTTGAACCCTTGAGCATGGGTACGTGATCTCCCTCTCCCAGGCCAGCCCATCAACCCCCATGACCGCATCTACCCTGAGGAGATGATTCAGACTGGTATCTCTCCCATTGACGTCATGAACAGCATTGCCCGTGGTCAGAAGATCCCCATCTTCTCAGCAGCTGGGCTCCCCCATAATGAGGTGAGGCCTGTGGGGTCCTGCAGACATTACCAAGAAGAAGGGACAAGGCAGTGGGCAGGGCTGGTGGGCCAGTGAGGAGGGTCTCCTGTGTCAAGCAGTCAGGGACCAACCAAGCAGGGGTCTTCACCGTCCAGACTGGCAGCTGTCCTCTGGCAGCTCATGGACTTAGTGCTGCATAAGACCTCCTCAGTGTCCCCAAGCAAGTCTTCAAGCCTCCACCCTGAAAAGGGCTGTAGAGCCTGGGGCGGCCCTTTCGCCTTTCTGGCCTTGGATCCCTCCCGCCAAAGGCCTTGGCAGGAGGATCGACTGGAAATTGCTCCATCCATCATCCTCAGTGGTGCTAGTGGGCGGGGCTCTGGGGCTGCCCTCTGGTTCTGACGTCCTTCCGCCCAATGCACTCCACCCCAGATTGCCGCCCAGATCTGCCGCCAGGCTGGGCTGGTGAAGAAGTCCAAGGCTGTGCTGGATTATCATGACGACAACTTTGCCATTGTCTTTGCGGCCATGGGGGTAAGAGGGGCTGGGCAGATTGGCAAGTTCTAGCAGTTTTGTCTCCCTTGGACCCTGGCTCTGTCTGACCTGATGAGGCAGGCATAATCCTTTTCCCTGAGAAGCTGTCAGTGTCCAGGCCTGTCTGGTTGGAGAGGCAAAAGCATGACTGAAGGTGGGTTCAGTGACTAAGACAGTGTGTCCCTCAAGCTATTCCAAAGGACATGGCAGCTATAAGATGAGGCCAGGATGACCTGGAGGAGGGAGAAGCCTGGGAATTTGGGGAGACAAGACAGATTCAGAGAGGGGATATGATGGGGCCCTCAGAGGGCCAGAGGAGGGGTTCAGCAAGGAAGCAGCTTGCTAAGTGAAGGGCTGGGATGGCACTGAGCAGAGCTCAACCTGAAGCAATCTGAACTTCATTTGGAACTTGATGAGATTCCAAAGATGAGAGCAACCCGGCCCCTGCCTTCTCAAGTACAGGGTCATCCCCAGAACTGTTAGCCAGTCAGTCAATAGGCTTTACTGAGAAGAGATGGGAAGGGCCAGGGCCGCTGCCCTTAGGCTGCAGGGACCCCTCTCCAGCCCTCCCTGCTGTGTGTCCAGGTGAACATGGAGACAGCCAGGTTCTTCAAGTCTGACTTCGAGCAGAACGGTACCATGGGGAACGTCTGCCTCTTCCTGAACTTGGCCAACGACCCCACGTGAGCCATCCCCTGATATCCAGCCTGCCTTCAGGCATCAGGCCCTGTCCCCTCCCAAAACCCAGAGTACCAGGGCTCAGAAGTATCCCAGAACCACAGCCATGGGCCAGAGTTGGGAAAACAACCCCTTGTTGTGCAGAGGGGGAAACTGAGGCTCAGTAAGGGGTAGGGACAGCCCACAGAGAGACAAAGGGAAATGGACCACCACCCTGCCTGCCACCTGCAGCCCTCTGCTCTTCCTGTGGTCTGTATCCAGCCACTGTCCCAAGTCAGAGCTCCTTTCCTTGCGCCACCCCCACAAAGTCTCCACTACTGACAGATTTCCTTAAACCCTTTGTTTGCAAACACTGAAATTTGTTCATTTTTTCATTTGAATAGAGTTGACACATACTGTCACATTAGTTTCCGGTGTGCAACACGGTGATTGAACTTCTCTATAAGTTATGCTATGCTCGCAAGTGTAGCTGCCATCCGTCCCCAAGCAACATCAGGACCATACCACCCACTGTATTTCTTCCGCTGCGCCTTTCATCCCCGTGACTTATTCATTCCATAACTGGAAGCCTGGGTCGCCCACTCCCCCTCACCGATTTTGCCCATCTCCCCACCTCCCTTCCCCTCTGGCAACCATTCTTTTATTCTCTGTATGTATAGGTCTGATTCTGCTTTTTGTTTGTTTATTCATCTGGAAAAACTGCTATTTTTAAAGTTTAGGAAATGTGAGTTTAAATCAGTGGGTCAGGTGGATGGAAAAAAATTCTTAATAAACCGTCCTGGGTACTGAAGGTACTCCCCAAGCTAAGTAACAGAATTCTGGAGGCCAAGATGATGTCACCAGAGGAAAGCCCCACAGGCTCAGAGCTTGAGGGTTGAGAGCGCCTGGAGCCAGAGGAAGGGACTCGGGGGAGCTCTCAGTGGAAGGGGGCTGCCCAGCCGGCAGGGCAAGTGTATGGAACATGTCCACTCAGTGTGCTCTGGAGTAGTGAGGGGAACCTTCCAGAGGGTGCTCAAGCTGAGCCAAGTGCAGGGGGGTGGGGGGACGGGGGAGGCTGGGGAAGAGAGGGCTACAGCAGGAGCCCTGCCGCTGCCTAGCTCTGATGGGCCAGAAGCCCACAGGGACAGGGTGCCGACATCCTCTCCAGACACACCTGGCCCTGCCTGTCCCACTCTCACCCAACTCCCTGCCCATCCCTATTCCTACCCTCAACAGCAGAAGGAAGAGTGTCAGGCTCGGTGGACTGTCCACTCCCAGAAACCATAGCCCTGACCTGAGGGCTGGGAGCTGGGGCTCTTCTTATCCACTCCTCTGCTGCTCTGCAGTTCCCTTTCCTCTCAGCACTGGGGCTAAATGGGCCTCTGAGCTCTCTAAACACTGGCTGTACCTCCAGGATCGAACGGATCATCACCCCGCGCCTGGCACTGACCACTGCTGAATTTCTCGCCTACCAGTGTGAGAAGCATGTGCTGGTCATACTGACCGACATGAGTTCCTACGCAGAGGCCTTGCGGGAGGTGAGGCAGCTGGTGAAGGGTGTCAAGGTCACGCCTGCCTCTCTCCCTGGGCCCTACTCCCTAAAGCTCTCCCACCAGGCCTGCCACCACTCTATTGCTCATAGTCCTTGAATCTCCCACTCACCTTTCCTTGTATTAGCCTCTTGTCCCCTTTCTTACCCCAGCGACACTGATATTGCAGGTCTCAGCGGCCAGAGAGGAGGTGCCCGGGCGCCGAGGTTTCCCAGGATACATGTACACAGACCTGGCCACCATCTATGAGCGGGCAGGCCGTGTGGAGGGCCGGGGAGGATCCATCACTCAGATTCCTATCCTCACCATGCCCAATGACGGTGAACCTCTTCACTGCCCAATACCCTCTGCACCACCATCCCCGCCCTCCTTTCCCACTGGGATGCTTAAAGGGCCCACGTTTTTTTGCATAGATGTGCAGTAGCTCTGTTCCTCCATCAAAGACTTCACCATCTTTTCCTTGCCTCCAGATACCCCATCACCCCCATGAGAGGAATAGAACCCACGTGGCCCTGACTGGGTGGAGACCTAGGCCCTGTCTACGCTGAGACCAGTGTATTTCTTTGCAGATATCACCCACCCAATCCCAGACCTGACGGGCTTCATCACAGAGGGACAAATCTATGTGGACAGACAGCTTCATAACAGACAGGTACTGTCCCCTCCCTACCCACTTAGTGCTTTCCTCACCACCCCCAGACACACTGGCTGTCCGATGCCCCATCACCTGCCACGCTTCATTTTTCTGAATTAGGAGGGGCCAGGCAAGGCTAACTCCGAAGAGGAGATGACCCGGGAAGACTGTGTGGTTCACAGACGCAAGACAAGTCTGGCTAGAATCCAGCCTACCTGACTGTAGGAACCTTGAGAAAATAATCTTTCTGATCCTAGGTTTCCTCACCTACAAAATAGAAATAATAGTATTTATCACACAGTGGAGTGCATGGCAGCATGTAGAAAGCATCTAGCAGATAGGAGTTACTAAATGAATACAACTTCTCTTTCCTTTCCGGTAATTTGCTTTGGTGAACAAAACAATGGGTAACTGACACAAGTAGATGGTGAATAATGTGCCAACAGGTTAGAAAGTGTCTGTCACATCTGAGGTTAAAGGCAACCTCTATGACTTTTCCTCTTTGCTTAGTAGGTTCCTTCCCTGCAGCTATTAACTATTAAGCTTTAACCCAGTTTTTGTCCAAATAACCAAAGTTTTTAAATAGTGACTTTCATTACCTAATGTCATGTCATCGCCTCCCTCCACCCTCCTGTCCAGGAGCACACCTGTAGACACCTGCATACCGAGCCCTAGAGTTTGTAGGCCATAGAGGGCAGGGCGCAAGCAGCCCACCTCTCTGTCGGATGAGTGAGGACCAGTCTCTTGAGATCCTCAGGGGGGAGGAGAGACAAGTACCAGTAGGTAGGAAGGAAAGTTTGGACCCTGCCTTCTGACACTCGCTTCTTTTGCTCCCCCAGATCTATCCCCCCATCAATGTGCTCCCTTCCCTGTCGAGGCTAATGAAGTCCGCCATTGGGGAAGGCATGACGAGAAAGGATCATGGAGATGTCTCCAACCAACTGGTAAGAAGGAGAGAGCCAGGGCCTGGCGGGGAAGTTAGTTTCAGAAGCTGGAGGTTTGACCCCTACCCAGACCACAAGCTTTTCTCTGGCAAAATCCCTCCCCCTTTGGGGTCCCCACAGCCAAACTGGGGGCCAATGGACTCCTTTGATATGCCTGTGGTGACCGCTGGAGTGTCCCTCCCCTCTTCACCCAGTATGCTTGCTACGCCATCGGGAAGGATGTGCAGGCCATGAAGGCGGTTGTGGGGGAGGAGGCACTCACTTCGGAGGACCTGCTCTACCTGGAATTCCTGCAGAAGTTCGAGAAGAATTTCATCAACCAGGGTGAGGCGCGCTGGGGGTGGTCAGACAGTAACCCCCTTACCTGGCTATGTATGCACACACGCACACGCACACACTCCTACTCTGTCCCTAGGTCCCTACGAGAACCGCTCGGTGTTTGAGTCCTTGGACCTCGGCTGGAAGCTGTTGCGCATCTTCCCCAAGGAGATGCTGAAGCGCATCCCACAGAGCGTGCTGGATGAGTTCTACTCCCGCGAGGGGGCGCCGCAGGACCCCGCGTCAGACACCGCGCTCTAGCCCCGCCCACAGCCAGACCCCAGCCGGTCCTGGGACCGCTGCTACACCGGTTCTACTCCCGCGCACGCCTCGAGTCCCACATCCCACACACCAAACCAACCGCTTGAGTGCCTCTGTCAGGACCCTGCCCGCTCCCACCCTTCATCCCTCTCCCTGGAGTCTCCACACTGGGAAAGAACTAAGCCTGTATTAAGCACTTGAGAATCACTTAGAGACCTTTGTAAAATACCAAGGCCCAGGCTCCAAACCAGATCAATTAATCCAAATCTGTAGGCAAAAGTCCTCTGCATCGGTATTTTCCCCCCAGGAACAGCCAGAGTGGCAATTACTGGTATAGAGACTGCGAGATAACCCAGGTAAAGATAATGAGGGCTGACACACTCTCCAACCCCAACACATACATAGAGTTTGCTGTCATTCTTAGGACCCTAGCACCCCAGGAACAACAGCCCACAGAATCCCCCAATGCCAGGACCTCCTCAAGCTTCGTCCCTGCAAAGCATTGTCACTTTATCTTAATTTGTTCATTGGAAGCCAGTGGTTAAGGCCCCACCTGGGGCAGGTATCCAGTAGAATTTGCTGGTTTTTAAGGTGCACAGGGAGGGGTGCTGACACCTTTGGACCACTGGGGTTGGGAGGCAAGTGGGTTACCAGAGGAGGTTTCCCTGGAATGAGGGATGGCTGCCTCAGGGTGGAAAATATGCATTTTGGTCCCTCCCTGTAGGTCTCTGTGATCTTGGGGGAAATTGCCACACCCCCCCCCTTTTTAGATTTGTCTGGGGGAAACACCAGGAATGATGTGGCACAGAGAGAAGGTAATTAGAAGTGGGTGGTGTGGTTGGGTATATCTACAGTTGACCCTGGGGCCTCAGTAAACCTCTGATAAGCTTGGGGTCATTCCCCCTGAGAAGGGACGGAATGTGGATGGTTCAGTAACACTCAACACTGACTCCAGCAACACTGATTGCCTGGCTGCAATATATTGTAAAAACCTAAAAGGCAAACTAGGATAACACTGACAACAAAATATATTTATAAAGGGTTACTACGTTAATAGATTTTATGCATCAATAAGAAACACTGTTAGGACCCTCAAAAAACAATGTGAATAAACAGATTCCCAGAAGAGAAAAACACTGATTGCTATTTAACTCTCGGTAGCAAACAGGAAGTCAAATAACATTACCACTACCAAATTAACAAATGTTTATTTAAAGTCATACTATTCAGCACTGGTGATGATGGTGCAAGTAGTTTCTCTTTTAATAATAGCAAGTTCATAGATAGCTGGACCAGTCTCACTGCTCCAATCCCCTCCCTCCTTGTGAAGTAGATACTATTATTCCCATTTTGCCAATGCAGAAATTAAGATACAGAGGTCAAGAAAGTCACATGGCTGATGTGTGGTATACCTGCTTCACTGCAGGTAGACGTATAAATGAAGGGGCACCTGTGTGGCTCAGGCTGTTAAGCGTCTGACTTTGGCTCAGGACATGATCTCCTGGTTGGTGGGTTAGAGCCTGTCCGGCTCTGTGCTGACAGCTCAGAGCCTGGAGCCCGCTTCAGATTCTGTCTCCATTTCTCTCTGCCCCTCCCCCACCCATGCTCTGAGTTTCTCTCTCCAAATTAAATAAATATTAAAAAAAAAAAGTAAATGAATATGAAATCTTGCAGACAGGTAGTTTAGAAACACATACCAACAATTTTAAATTGTTACTTCCTTTTTATCTAGTAATTCTACTTCCAGGAATCCACCCTAAGAAAACCACCAAGATGAATTGTTTTGTTTTCCGCTGCACATGTGAGATGATAGCATGTCCATTATGATGCTGGGCTGCTGTTGCGTCATAATGTGCGTTTCGTATGTGGCATGACAGTGGGTGCGAGTTCATAATAAAACGCTAAACAAAAAGAAGTACAAAAAATACCTATACGATATGTATATACGCATTGTAACAGACCGTGATTTTTGTGGGTGGTGGGATTGTGATTTTCTCGTTATCTTTTTCTGTTTTTACAATCAGCACTTATTAATTTTATAATCAGAAACAAAGCCTAGGTGTCTTCCAGTTTGTGTGTGTGGCTGATGCTGTTCCATCGCGCGCGGGGCGGCAGGGACCCTGCCGCGGGATCTCCTGAAGACAGCCGCCCCGGCCCCGAGCCAGGGACTCTAGCGGGCCTTCGCAGCCCTGCAGCGGGAGGTTACTAAGCCAACAGGTGGCGCCACCCCGCCCGAAGCGCGAGTTCGAGAGTCCTTGGGAGGGTGGCACGGGAGGGCAGGACGAGGGTAGCCCTCGCCAGCAAGTGTCGCCATGCCGCCAGCGAAGAAATTCTCCTACAAGGTCTCCTGCGCTGGCTCGCCATCCAAGCAGTCCAGGTGAGCCGGGGATGAGGTGGCCTGGGGCCGCAGGACCTCCCAGGAGGGGCAGGGCCCGGTTGGGGCCGGGGCCCTGCTGCAGCCCCCAGGAGCCCTAGGAGCCGGAGAGCCAGGCTGGGGTCTGGGCTTGCTCCGGAGAGGTGTCCGGGGATGGTGGCTTCCTCAGTAACCTGCCGCCCAGCGGACCCTGGCCTGGCCCCCATAAATGCCCCGGTGCTCAGTGACAGCCCTTACCGTCACACACGACCCCTCCACAGGGCCTCCCGCCTGGCCCAGGACTCCATTTTCTCACTCAACTCCTCGCTTTCGACCCTCCACTTGCGCTCCATCTCTAACCCGGATGAGTGGGACCAGAAGGCCCTAGGGAGCTACTACGAGTTGTTCGCGGCGGCGCTGGGCAACCTGGAATGGTTGCGGTTCTGTCTGAGTCGGCACGGCGAGGAAATCCCAGCGGATGACAAGGTGAGGCCTTGGAGCCTGGGGGCAAGAACTGAAGTCCTCTGCACCCATAAAAAACTCCTCACATAGTTGTTCTCTGGCAAAGATCTGTCTATGCAGCATCCGCAGATGTCCTTTTCTGTGTAGATGGTCCTAATTCACCTTGCTACTGTGGGAGAGCCATTTGGGGATAGCCAGCAAGGGTAGGAAGGTAGGAGGTGGGGGGAGGGGTAGGGGGTGGCAACGGAGTGTGAGCAAGGGGTCCCTGGGGGTCAGGGAAGAGGGATGGGTAATCCTAAGGAATTGCCCTCTAGGCTAGGTCATGGGCCCTGCTCAGTCTCCCTGCTCTGGTCTCCACAGGGTTTCACTGCCATCCACTTCGCAGCCCAGAATGGCAAGCTTACATGTCTGCAGGCCTTGGTAGAGGAGTATAAGTTTCCTGTGGACCTGCCCACCAACAATGGCCAGACACCCCTGCATCTGGTCATCCACGGGGACAACAAGACCATGACCCTCCCCTGCATTCACTATCTGCTTAAGCAAGGGGCGGCCCTCAACACGTGAGTCCAGCCTGTGTCCAGAAAAGAGTCTTGGAGCCTGGGCAGATAGGAACCCCACTTCCAGGTAGGCAGATCCACGCAGGACAGGCAGAGGGCTGTGGGGTGACAAGGATTGGATCTCATAGAATGCAGCCAGCGAGCCCATGTGGTGTGCTAAGGAGATCAGGCTCTGGGAAAGGACAGCCCTAGTTTGCATCCCAGCTTTGCCATCTGCTAGCAAACGGCAAGACCTCAGGCAAGTCACTCAACCCTTGGCCTCAGTGCTCTCGTTCCCAAGCTTGTCGGTACACTAGAGTCACCTGTGGAGCTTCAAAACTACCAGTGCCTGTGTTCCAATCAAAGGCTGAAATTGGTATGGGGTGTGGTGTGGGCCTTGGAAAGCCTGAAAGATCCCCAGGTATTTCCAACTTGCAGCAAAGTTTGATAACTGTTTCCTCAGTGTTTTCAACTGAAATTTGGGATGACATGAGACTATTGTGATAATTGAGGAAATGTATGGAAAGCGCATGGATAGCATATGAGAGACTGTACTCATTCATATACAGAGAGCCAAGCCAGAGTTGAAGAATAGATCAGTGAAGACACAGAAATGGTCCCTGCCCTTATGAAGTTGATATACTAGGGCAGGAGCAGACAGTAAATTAACTAATAAATGATCAAAATGACAATGTAGTGAGTGGTTACATAGGAAACGAACAGGGTGGTGGGTTGGTGAGTAAAAGGGGCAGGGAGAGAATCCATCTTGGAAGGGGAAGTCATGTCTAAGAAGATGACATTTAAATTGCAGCCTGAAAACTGGGAGCAAGCCAACCATGCAAAGAGCCAGGGAAGTGTCCCAGGCAGAGGGAATATGATGTGCACAGATCATATGCTGGCAAAGAGTGGGTCAAGGTCAAAGTGTGAGGTTGAGGAGGAGGCAGGGCCCAGGTCATTCAGGCCTTGAATGGCCAGACAGGGGTAGGGACAGGAGGGCTGACTGACTTATGAGCCAGTAAAGTTAGTGTCTCTAAGCTCCAGCCAACCCAGCTCTTCTTCCAGCAGTACTTAACAGTAGCATATCCATATAATCAGACTTTTATCATTCATTTAGTCCACACCCTCCTTCTACAGTAGAGGAAACTGAAGCTCAGAGAGGAGAAGGGACGTGCCAGAGGCACCCAGTGGGCTGGTGGCAGAGCCAGCCTGGAAGCCAGTTTGCCTGCCTGTCTGATGGGCAGATGCCCTTTGTCCCTCCTCTGCCCTCTTCCCCGCTGGCGGGGCCCTCTACAGTCAAACAGGCAATGGCTCCACACCCCTCCACCTGGCGGCCTCCCAGGGCATGCTGAACTGTGTGAAGGTCCTGGTGCAAAATGGTGCTGATGTCCATGCCCGAGATGCCATGGGCTGCAAACCCATCGACTACTGCAAAATATGGAACCATCGTGACTGTGCCAGGTGAGAGTGTGAGAACCAGCCACAGCCTGCCGGCCCTTCCCCTGGGGCCCTCGCCTAGGAATCTTTGAGAGGAGAGTCTGGGCTGGGAGAGAAGTCGGCTGAGAAGACCCCTGCCCAGGATATTATTCCCAGGGCTTTCTGCAGGGCCTCACTCCTTTGGGTTTGGCATTACCCTTCCTTGCCCTGAGGCCCTGGGTCCTCAGCAAGATAGTGGTGATCAGACCATCAGACACTTTCCTCTCTCACCTCAAATGACAGTAGTTATTCAGAGGGGCCTTGAGCAGCGGGGAATGGTGTCTCTGGTGGCTCCTCCCACCCACATTCAGGCCCTCAGCAGCCAGTCTTCCCAGCCCTGGCTAAAGCTCAGTCAGCACGGGGATGACACACCCCCACCTTGGCACCAGGTTCTTGAAGGATGCCATGTGGAAACGGGACAAGAAGGACTTTGCTTGTGAGATGAGGAAACTGAAGAGGCTCAAGGACCAGCTGGCCCTCATGGAACAGGACTACCTGACTGAGTATCAAGTAAGGGGTAGAGTGACAGGGGTGCCTGGCAGCCACTGCTATCCAAGCATGTGAGCAGAGGACAAGTAACTCACACGCACAGTTATTTAGGAGAGTGGCTGGTAGCAGTCCTGCCCAGAAAAAGCCTCCTTCTTCCCATCCTCTGAAATTCCACCCTTAAAAGGTCAAAAGTCTTGTTTTGTTTTGTATTAGAAAGCAAATACAGCTTAAATTAGCAAGAATTTATGGCATCCCTTCTAGTGCATTCCCTCCTTCTGGATTAGGAGGAAAATCTCTAGTGAGACCCAGGCCCTGCCTATATTGGGATTCACGCTGGTTAAAAAGATCCATCCTTTGGGGCACCTGGCTGGCTCAGTCGGTGGAACAGGTGACTCTTGATCTCAGGCTTGTGAATTCAAGCCCCACACGGAGTGCAGGGATTACTTAAAAATAAAACAACAACAACAAAAAATCCATCCTTTCCAAAAGACACTGTACTCTCTGCTAGGAACCTGCTGGACCCTGAGGCTCCAAAGACAAATGAGATGTGGTCCCCACGTTCAAGATGCTTAGGGTCTAGTATGGGAGGTGGGTTATATTCCTGCAAAGACAGGGTCCAGGAGGATGCCAGACCGATAATGCTTCAGACGATCTTTAAAGATGGGCAGCACTTGGCCATAAGAGGAAGAGAATGGGTAATCCAAAAGAACAGACAGCCCTGTGGAGAGGCATAGTGGTACATGAGAATGCAGTGTATGCTGAGAAGTAGGGGATCGGATAGGAGTTGGAGATTGACAAGCTAGAGATTTGGTAGGGGCTCAGATCCATCATGGACTTGGGCTGGGGAAGAGTGGAGGGGGGGGGTAGCTAAAGGCTTTTAAGCAGCTGTAATTATATAGGATGAAAGAGTCAGAAAACCCAGAAAGAATATCCTGGGAATCCTAAGTTAAGTCCAAAAGTGGGGAGTGCTTTAGGGCTGGCAAAATCCAGTACTGCTGCTTGGTTCCAGCTGCATTTTTCTCCAGCTTTTTCAACCCTACCCTCTTTTGCTGTTGGTGTCACCCAGGCCATGTGTCCAGAAGAGGAAAAGCTCATCTGTTTCTGTGGCTCTTAACTTTCCCAGAAGCACCTTGCAGATCTTCCCTTATCTCTTATTTGCCTCAGCTGGATCATATGTGCATTCTTGCTCCAATGCCTAGAGCTAAAGGAAAGCCATGTGCTGGCTGACCTCAGTCTGGGGCAAGGCTGATGGAATTATTATGATTGGCTTAGTCTAATCAGAGCCTACCTCCCGAGCTGGGTCAATCTCCATACACCTGATTGCTTAGCAACAGTCTGGGAAGTGGGACACTGACACAAGGGGGTGGAAAGGGGGCAGTTCAGTTCTAGTGGAGACATAAACAGAGAGGTAGACCAGGTCATTACCACCCAGTGCAGAGAGCCAGCCAACTATATGCCCCGACAAGGCTCAGCACTTCAGGACGCCTGCCCACATCGGCTCCCCTGGTTGCAGGCCTTCCAAACCTTTCTTTCTCCTTCCAGAGTCAAGGATTTGCCTTTGCCCCATCAAACCAGAGGTTGTCTTAGGGCAGGACATATCCCCACTATCAAACTTGGGGCTCCTTTGGGGGTGGAGGCTTGTCTCCCCCATGAGACTTGAGGTTCTCCATAGGGCAGGGACGGTACCTCCCCCTGGAGACCTAGGGCAGAAGCTGTATCAGATTGGTCTCCTCTACGGGAGAGGGTCTATCTGCCCCATCAGCCCAGAGGCTCCTGTAGGGTAATAGGGGTCTCCCTGTCGGAACAAGGGCTCCTGTAAGGCAGGAGTTTCTTCCGTCAGATTTAGGACTCCCCTGGGGCGGCACTGTATCTGGTCAATGACACCTGAGGGTTCCATGGGCTAGAGCCACAGAGCCCCCTTTCACAGAAGAGGGGATGGGGGCAGCCACGCGCGACCATCCTGTATCCTCTGTTGCAGAAAGAGCACCAAATTCTGAGAGAAGCTGATTTCAAGAGGTGGCTCCAGTGCAAGCAGCTGCTCCGAGCCCGATCGCTGACCCGGAGCGCCAAGCGCGAGCCCTGTGCCCCACACCAGGCTATTCCCCTCTCCAAGGCCGCCAAGCACCAGGGATTAAGGCCTCCCAAGAGCTTCTACCCCTCCCCGGAGGCGCGCCTGCGACAGACACCGCTGCCCAAGCTGCAGCCCTTGAGGACACACACATCAGCCTACACACTGCAGCCTGTGGTCAAGCGGCCCAGGTCATGGAATGTCAGCAACAACCCTGCCAGATCCCCCATCACCCAGATCGGCTATCCGCAGGGCGTCCGCCTGGGTGTGCATCCAGACCCTAGCTTGGAGCACGACTTCCGCAGCTTCCTCGAGGTGTGGTCTGACAGGCACAGTAGGGCCCAACTGCGCACAGTGGCCGGCGACCGGGTGGCACCCGTGCCACAGCTGCCTTTCGAGGTGATAGTCCAAGAGCTGTACCCTTCAGTGCGGCCATACAGGATGAAAGTGCCCCAGGGCTTTTGCTCTGTCAGCATGAAGGATGTGCCCCAGAAGCGGCACTTGGGTGATGACAACTTTTGGACTGACGCTCTGGCCATGAACCTGCGTGAGACATTTGATGAAGCCTTCCTGGCAGCTGTGCGAGCCCACCAAGGGCTCCCCTCTCTGCCAGACCCCAAAAGCCCCCCATAAACTTACTTTGGTAGGCTCTGAAGCTGAGGCAGCCCAGTGAAGGCAGAGATGTGGTGATTCATGATGTGGGTGGAGGACAGGGAGAAAAGTGCCCAGAGCCTTCCCACTTTCAAGCTCAGAGATCAGAGCCTCTTCTCTCAACAAAAGCCTAGATCCCAGGTCTCCATTCTCCACAGAGAAATTTCTGGGACCACTGCAGGAGACTTAAGTTAGGGCAGAGGCCTCAGAGTGGGCATCAGTCTCTATCCTGGGCCCTAGTATTATAAAAGTGACACTTTGGCATCCCTACTACCTCCCCTCTCTCCCAGCCCACCAGGAACAAGGCTTCCAGGATGAGGGACCACTGGAAAATTCCGCCTCTGGTTCAGATTAAGTCCTTCAAGGTTTCTGTAGATCAGGGAGGCACACGTGGCATATCTTGGGGAAGGGAGGGAGGACATGTGGCTTCAGTTTGAGACTGTAAAAGCACTTGCACCTCCTCCAGGTAGCTATCCTGGATCCCCTGCTATCCCCTGTATGCATCACTACAAATCATTCATTAAACAAACATTTATTGAGTGCTTTCTATGTACCAGGCACCAAGCCAGGCACTGATGATACAAAAACTGAAGGACAGCCCCTGCCCTCAAGGAGCTTACAGTCTAGTGGGGAAATAAACAGTAAGCAGGCAAGTAAGCCTAGAGTGAACTGTGTAGTGTGCTGGGGGGAGAGGGGACAGAGCTCAGAGGAAATGAAATCTAAGTTGAGAACTGACAGAGAAGGTCCCCAGGTGAGCAGAAGAAAGGGGAATCAAAGTGGCATCTCTGAATACAGGAGGCTGGGACACACGGTGCAAGGTGGCAAGTGATGAGGCCATAGGTGAGCAGTAACCAGACATCACAAGTCTCACAAGCCATGCTAAGGGGTCTGGACTTTATCCTGAGGGCAGTAGGGAGCCATGAAAGGTTGTAGGCCGGGAATGACTTGATCAACTATATATTTTGGAGACAACTCTGGCTGTGAAACAGAGAAGCAGAAGGCGGCTGTCACAATAATCCAGGTGTAAGCTGATGACAGTGGCAGTGGCTTAAATCAAGAGATGTTAGGAAGGTAAACTTTACATTTTTAGAGATTGGATAGGGGGTGGGGAGGGGCCGAAAGAGAAAGCAGAACTAGAAAGCCGATTTCTGGTCTGGCTCCTGAGAGGTCTTGGGGCCACAGCAGGTGCCCAAAAGAGGCAGGTTTACAGAGTCAGCAACAAGCGCCCTCTGGGCCGTGAGAGTTGTCTGTGCACCCAAAGGCAGCAGAACTATGGTTCAGAAGACCAGGAGGGACATCGGGGCTGGAGTCAACTCTCAATTCCTCGGCAAAGAGTCCTTGAAGCCATCAGCATGGATGGGCTCCTCCAGGGAGCCCACAACAGAACCCTGAGAAACCCCATGTGCGTGGGGCAAATGGAGAAGCCTGTGCAGGAAACTGAAAGGAACAGCCAGAGGTAGGAGGAAAACCAGCCACAGGAGTGTCAGGGAGGTGCAACTCAAGGAGCTGGGGGTGGTCAGCCCTGACAGATGCCGCAGAGCCCCAGCAGGATGTGAGAGGACTTAGCACAAGAAGGCCACTGGCAACCCCTAGGAGAGAAGCCATATCATCAGGGTGAGGAACAAAGATGTGGACGGCAAGGCAGAGCAGGGCCAGTTGTTGACCCGCAGTGAGGATGATACTGGCCTCCTGTGTCTTCCACTTTGTCCTCCCTTGTCTGCATAGGATAAAAAGGCCTGGCCATCTCCTCCACACCAAGAAAAAACGAAAATGTGCCACTCCTCTCGGGGAAAGGGAAAGGCTGGCATTTTTAAGAGAACAGGAAATGCTAACGCCAGGAGACGCGGGGCTGTGGTGGGACTTGAGGCAGGATACAGAGAATTTGAGCACAGGGGCCTTCCCCGGCTTAAAGGTACCACAGGTGCGCTGTCCATCTCCGCACTCGCCAGCCTCGCTCTGAGGTAGAGGACGTGGCTGGGAACGGCTCGCATGGGGGCTGCACGCCAAATTGTACGGCTGAGTACTTGCAAGGCACTGTAGCTGGAGTGCAAAGTCAGCACACCCTGGTCTGTGCCAGGATCTGGCCCGCCTTCTTACAAGACTGAGGTCATCTCCCTAGGAGCCAAGAGCACACAGAAGAAAGGGCCAGCCCTCATGTGCTCTTAAGAGTGACAAACCATTTCTTCCCTCAGTCCCAGTTCTTAAAAATTAGGCTATAGCCCAGGCTGTCTGGAGGCCAACTTCTATTTTGTTTCTCCTTGGGCCTGAGACAGAATTTGGCCAGGAACCACTCCCTTGCCCCAGTGGAAGACTTACAAGTAGGATATTGCAGATGTTCTGAAAATCCAACCCAGTCCCAAACTGTGCCTCTCCAACCCCAGTTGTGGCAGCCATGGAGCCACAGGTAAAGAAGAGATGGAAGAAAAGGGAGGGGGCATGTGAAAGGCCGCCTCCACCCCACTCCCCTGACCCGGCTCAGCTCCTCAGCTCTTCATCTCTGCTCATTTCTCAAAAAGGGCCGTGAGAGCAGTCCCTGTGGGAGGGCAAGGCCCAAACCCAGAAAAGGAGCCGCTGGAACAGAAAAGCCAGTCCAGTCCAGGGCAGAAGATCAATAGGAAGAAAGGGAGATGAACTTTCAGGGTATTAAGGCAAACAGTGCCACCTAGAATCTTTATTTAAATGGGAATTAGCACTTGGACAGAAATCACAGTTCAACAGCAAAAACTATTTCTCTTGGAAGTGCCAAGCCACGGCCCCTCCCCACGGCCATCTGCCCAGAGAACTTATCCCTATCTGCTTTCCAGCGTCACAGCCCCTGCTCTGCCTGCCCAGGCTGAGCCAGAACCTCCTAACCCCTCACAGAAGTGGGCAGGAGGGTCACAGGGAGCTCAGCTTCCACATAACCAGGTGGACCACAGCCTACTGGCCAAGCAGGCTCTTCCATCCCCCTGGTGCCCTCTGAGGTCACAGCCTCTAGCAGCGTCAGATCTGAGCGAAGCTGAGCCCCTCGAGGAAGGTGGGGATGAGGGCTTTAGGGAGAGTCAAGGGAATGAGGGCCAGGGCCGGGGGAAGGTGCCTTCCAGGTTCACGGCCCCCACCTAGTGCAGAGGCCCAGCGGCCTGACTCTCCTGATCTTGCTCCCACATCCCCTCCCCAAGGGGGTTCAGTATATCTTCTGACGACTGGGTAGAATGGCCTCTTTGATGAAGGAGAAGACAACCAGGATCCCTAAGCGTTTGCCCCGCTTGCCTTTGGTGAAGTAATTGGAGACCACGTCATCTGTGGAGACATAGGCAGGGAGATGAGTGTGTGTGTCTAAATGTGAACACGGCTCTCCCCACCTGGAGCCCATGGGTCTCCACCACAGGGCTGGGCTCTGGCTCCCCGCGTAGACTCGGCTCTTCCTGGTGTCGTCCCACCAAGACCCCTGACACACCCCTTCTCACCTCCTGGCTGCATGGTGGAGGGCAGGATGTTTTCCCCCGCCGACAGTGACACAAAGAATGCAAACGGGATTATCCACAGACAGAAAGTGAAATAGGCCAGGACCTGACAACAAGAGACACTGAAAAGAGGGTGCCCCAGAGGTGCCGAGGGTGGGGCGCACACGGTCACCATGTATCTTACAGAGGCAGTCAAGGGTGCACAGAAGGCCCCACACCTGATCTCTGAAGGAGGCCAGGGCCCAGGAAGCAGAGACAGGACAACCTCAGACATGGAGATAATTCAGTGGGGCAAGGTAAAGGCTGAGGCTGACCAAGTGTGTCCACAATCCCCAAATCCTGGTCACTAGGATGAGCAACTCCTCTGAACTAAAGGAGGCAGATGGATGGCAAAACCACAGCTGACCCATGTTCCCCCCAACAATGACCTTGTTCTTCCCGGGGGTCTGGCCTGCAGCAGCAGGGTGTGGAGGGGCCTGAGAGGAGAAAGGCTCGGCAGGCTGCAGGGAGGAGCCGGGCTTCAGGACTGCAAGCTGCCCAGCCCCGTGACGTCTGCATCAGATGAGGCCACCCTTGTGCCCCATCCTGATCTCAGGTGATCCTGGGAGAACCAAAGGACTCCCCGTGGGAGAGCAGTGTCCTCCCCACCTCGGCCAGAGTCTTCTCCGCTCCTCATCCACATTGCTGTCGAACATCATCAGGACTAGATTTTTAAAATGTGTTATCCCTCAAGAGACTGTTTCAAATCATAGCTAAGTTCAAAAAGCAAATCGTCCAAGTCCATTTTATCTCCCCTTGTCCTGCTAATTGTTCGACGTACTGAACACTTCTTACCTCTGAGAAAGGATAATATTCCTCTGCAAAAAACTGAAACGCTAGGTAGTGATTCACCACCACTAGCCCTGTTGAGGGAATGAAGAGTCAGTCAGTTTGGGGGGAATAACATAAAGCTAGACTCTTAACCTTCAAAAGGCCCCTGGGAGTGGGGAGCCCTGAGTCTTAGTCCTGATTCTGCACCCATCCCAGAGCATGGCAAGCACACTACCCTCCAGAACTCAGTTTTCCATCTGTTAAAATGGGAGCATTAGCTTCTGCCTGCCTACTGCAGAAGGCATTTATGAGCAAAATTAGAATGCAGGTAAGAAAGCTCTTTGAATGGTTTAAAAATGAGACTTGAATGTTACATAATTGAAAGCACTGTGACAATTAACCTGGTTTTAAGTGGACGTGAGTCCTCAAGAGTGCTCTCCGATGGGCAGTGGGTGCAGTAAATCATGGATGTGCAGTTAACATACTCCCAACAGATTCTTCTCTGAACTGGGCAGCAGGGAGAGGGCCTCAAATAAAGAGGCTCGCTCTCCTCAGGGATAAAAGGGCACAGTTTGCTAGGCACACTTTTAGGAGTCCTCCAAATTCTGGGGGAAGGGGTCCTTCCTCATTCTGTCCCAGGGTAGGGCTCACTGGTCTAAACTAGTATGTTCTGGACTGACACCCCCTCCTTATGGAGGGAGAGATGACATACAGATTCTGGGGATGGGTTGCTCGGAGACAGGCGCCCTGCCTGTTCTCATGGTGAGGTGAAGGGCAGGCACCAGAACACAGCGCCTCCTCACACTGAATGCCCCGCACATCCACCTCACAGCCCACTGCCACGTCTTGCTTCTCTTTCCTCCTCTCTTGTGTCTCCCTTCCTAAGGGAGGCCACGCCTAGCCATACTCTAGAAACTAGGGGGAACTGTAAGATAGATGGTGCCCAATGCCCGCAAATCTTCAGACAAACTCTCTCAGGCATCTAAAGGCCAGGCTGGGGGAATGACAAAGGGAAGCCGAGAGGGCCTGCTACTATAGGGGATGGGGAGGCTTCTAACCCCTGCGAAGATGCAGAAGGGGCCTGGTCTCCAGACTCCCCGCACCAACCCCCATTGAACACATCCCCTGGTGGACTCACACCACAGTGCTCAGGGAAGAGGCCAGTCCTAGCTTTAACACTATGTCCTCCTTGTGGATAATATTCTCTTTCCAGATTATCCCAAGGAAATAGTAAAGCAGCCCTAAGCAACCCTCAATTACATCCCATATCCTGACCAAAGGCTAGATGACCAGTGATGAC